AAACGCCACCAACAGAATATTTTCTATTGTACATTTCACCACTGCTGCCTCAGTTCTACACCATGCTTGACAGACAAAGGTGGAGCAATTTTTTAAAGAAAAACAAGAAACCGAAACACTTTTCTTCATGTCTTGCTAATGAAACTGATGAAGAGACATTTGTAAAGTTACACGTAACTCTGTAAAGTCATGAATAACTTTATTTCCAAAAAGCCCCTCAATTTTAAACCCTGAGTTCTTAGGTTATTTGGACATCTGCCCAAAGTACAGTTGCAGATCTTGGTCAAAGAATTCTTGACTTATGCTAGGTCATCTCCAACTACCAGCATATCTCAGGTTTCAGTATGGTGATGAAGAGGTTACTCTATGGAAAGAAAAAGTCATGGGCTACCATGACTACCATATAAAAGCTTGTTTAGGCTACACTGGTCAAAGTACAGGCTCAAAATTTATCAAAACTGTTTTTAGGAAGCCACAAACATTTCTATGCTGTTACAAGGCATAAATAGCCATGATGGCTACTGTTTGGCCAGAGATTATCAAACTTCTGGCTGTATTAATAAGCCTAAAATAAAATAGATATTTTTTTCCAAACTGGTTAACAGCTTGGTTAATTACTGTGCCAGTGCCTCCTTTTTCCTTTGCTGACAGGCTGTTTCAGAGAAGTTGGCTCATTTCTTCATGAAGTAATTTATCGTGAATTATTCTCCAAGGTTTATACCACTCCCAGTGCAAAACTTACTTGGGTTACTTAAAAAGTCACACTCAAACTCACATCTGAGCTAAGCTAAAAACAATATATACAAGAACTGAATTAAATATCCATACATTCAAATACTAGAAATATTGCCTTTTTATACCGTTATTCTACTGTCTACATAGAAAAGATGGAGAGGAGTGGAAATTTTTAAAACTCCGTATCTGGTCCAGTTGCTAGTGTCCTTAATCTTACAAAAAATAATACTAACCACAAAAATCAGGTTACATAGCAGTTGTGTTTTTCAAAGTGAGATGAAATCATAACCTGGACTGATTTCAGTAACTTGACCCTGGAACTAAATCAGGATTCCTGCTTTATCACAGTGCTCTACCTGTAGCTTAGGGATACTGTTTTTAGGACTACATTCTGAACACAGCAATGTACTTAATGAAAGAAAAGTCCACTTGCAGAGAGGCTTTTGGAGGAGAAATGTTGACTAATTATAATCTCTTTTCTTTCTACTTTGCAGGTAAAGAGTACTATTATTTTTCCATTCAAGCGTTATTAATACATAAAACACATAACAAAGAAAAGCTCACAGCACATTCAGATTGAACAGTCTAGCCTTCCCTGGCAGTCAGTTTTAAACTATAGAAAAATACTGTTTTGCTCTTGCGTTTGTGTCCAGCCATAATCAGCAATGAGGAAAAATATTTCCAGTATAATAACTTTTATGTTATCCTATTGTGTCTTATTTTATCGCTTGCATGTCCTTAGGTAATATATAACAAACAGTAAACTTTACACATGGTCAGTGAGACAAAATGCAGATTTCAGGATGACTACTGACTCCACTATTTACTACCAAGGTTTACAAGCAGTGTTCATAGACGCTAAGGTGCAGCTACTGACTGCAGGAAGCTTAATTTATTTTAGAAAAGCTTTCCATAGCTAAAGGGTCATGGTTATACAGATTATAGAATCAAGTCTCAGTGTACTGTGATAGCTCAATCCAAAATTAATAAATGCATGAAGCAGCTCCACTGGAAGCAGGACTCCCCTAGGAAAATCTGCTAATGACACTGCATTTTTGCACTGATGAATGAGGCTATAAAATCCTTAATTTACTTCAGAGTTTTAAGCAGAAACTCTAAGGCAAAACAGATTTGCAGAAATATAAACTCTAGAAGTTGTGGGGTTTTTTTTAATTACTAAAAATATTAAACCTTATGTTGTTAGGATGCTCCATAAATACTAGTTGTCCAAACAGAAAGAGGGAAATGACTAGCAATAGCTAAAATGAATTTGTCCTAAGACAGCATTACAATATTACAGTTGATAGTGAGAAACAGTAATCCTAACAATTTTGCTTTCTGTGATCACTTCACAGTGTAACAGCTGAATAAACTATACTAAAGAAAACAGTGAAAGTATCATGTGTATTTGTATACATACATGTTTCAGCTTGGTAAAATGACAATCTGTTGGGTAATAAAATGCCTTCTCTACAACAATTTTCAGATTATCTCAATTGCTCTAGCACAGTAAAAAAATGATGCTGCTGAAATATTACAGACAAAACCAACTTTGGCTTTGTAATCACAATGTTTACTCACCTAGCTTATTTTCTGAACAATTCCTTCCTAACAGACGAGATACATATTATATTTTTACTGGAATTATATGGCTTCCAGAGTTTGCTACTGTCAGGAAACTGCTGAAGACTTATGAAGACAGAAGGAGAAACAACTTTTCCATTTCCATTTGGCTGCCTCTGATCAGATTAATTTCCACTGATTGCTTCAAATGGATGAATAGTAGGCACTTTAACACAAGGCTGAACTTCAAGCTCTATTCTGCCCATTGGTACTATCTATCCTGGAGACACCTGAACAGTAATACTTTTTGAACAGGAAATAAAGAACAATACATTAGTCAAACCTTAAACTGTTTCCTAAAGGTTTCTTCTGTTGTTGCTGTTTAATGTAGTTGCTTCAGATATTTTAAATTTAAGTGTTCCAAGACTCAGAGGTAAAAAAACTGTAGCTCTAATAAGACAAATAGTATTCTTTGCCACAGAGCAGCCAAAAGCACACCATAAACTAAAAACTTCTACCCAGCTCCTTAAACATTGGTCATGAGTACTAAAAGTGTGAATCTAGGAAAATCCAAGAACAACAAGTAAAATGCAATTCACTCTAAGAACTGGTGAGAGATACTTCCTAGTCAGGTAAGAACAATAAGCCTTTACCTGTAAGTGTATATATAAGCAAGAAACAACTTGAGTATGCTGCTTCCAATTATCTGCAAATCTATTAAAATGGATTTCACCAAGTGGAAGACCTTACAAAGATCTTACAAAGATCTTGTGTTGTATTATTTGTGATAGCAACGTGGTTCATGTCAGTCTGCAGGCCCTATACCTCTTCAACTACTTGCTTCTAATCTGCCTTTAAGATGAGAGCCACACTGGGAGAAAAAAAGTACAATAAGGCAAGCAGTAGTAAACCACACATGCAAAGGGCTGCTGTAAATGCCTTTAAGTGTATTTTTACTATGTGATAAGAGAGACACAAAAGTCTGTCTCACCAAGAGATAATATGCCTTCAATGTCCTGGTACCAACAAAGGGCAGTTAGGACAAAGCAGCTGATACAGCAACTCTGCTTATATGGCCTGGGGCCTGCAACTACAAGGACTGAGACAAGTCCACTCCAGCTGCTCAGTCTCATGACTCAATCACACTTGCTCATCCTTATGAAATAAGGAAACAAGGCCTGTAAAACAGGGGGCTTGGGGAGCCTCACTTACACCAACCCTTCATCCAGGACTGATGATTTTCTGTTTTCTATCTGTCTAAACTTTTCTTCTGCTCTCTTTCTCTTCCTTCTTAAAATCATTAAGTAACGCAAGGCCTAATCACATTTTTTTCTCAGGTTGTGCAGCTTAAGCATACAGGTATTGTACTCCAGTGATCTAAATGTCAGCCTTTATGATTGTTCAGCCTAAGATAATAATTGAAGTATCTGAATTCCTTCTATACTTTAATTAAACCTAATTCAAATACAGACCTTTAGTGTTGTTTCAGCTTAATCTGATCAAGGGATATCGGATGGTTGAGCATTTCCTTGGACCATGACATTTTAATCACTCCCCCTGGAAGGGCCAGGTCTGAGACAAAGGTTGGATCCAGCCATACCTGGGCTCCTCTCTGAGAAGGAGTTTAGAAAGCAAGGGGGTCTAGTCTGAATCTTACTGGGTTGCCCTACCTCGGTCATGACAGGTATCATTTGTACATCCACTCTCCTAGATTTTCTTTCAGTGGCATTACCCTATAAGAGGTAGCATTTGCATCTCTGTTTTGACAGACTTGGGAAGGCAACACCCCCTCAACATAAGTATTTATTTTTACAGGAAATCAAGCACAGGCAAGACTTAGGATCACAGCTATCCAGCTATTAATCAAGTTGAACTAAGTCTTCTGTTCTTCTCCCTATTTGGGACTGCAAAGATTATGAGGAGGGCAGACTCAGCCCTTCCTAAGGGTCAGGAGGGCCAGTATCTGTTTAGACTTGGTGGCTGAGCAAACACAGGGCAATAGATCAGGCACTATCAAAATTTATCCAGTGTACCAACCACACTGACAGCTAGAAACACTAAAGGAACTTGCAGGAGAAGAGGAAAGACATTTCACCACAACTGGTTGACTCAAATGCTTTGAAAAGTTGTAAGGGTAGTGAACAGTCTATTCAATGAAGAAAAAAAAATATTATTTCAAATTATGCTTTAAAGCATATATTCGAAGTTGAAGGTATCACGTAGGTTACCTCTGTGCGTCAAACTGAAAGAGTTATTAAGCAGAGCTGGGAAGGACATTTTTAAACCACAATCCGTAACAAACATAATAAATATTTTATTTCCATTAACAACTAATAAAGTGCATAAGGCAGAAATGTAGAGCAGATTTACACCAACCCAAGTAATTAGACTTAAGAGACAAAGCGTCTGCCCAGTTTCATAGTTCTAAAGTGCAACCACTTAAAGTGAGAAACATCTACTGCAAACAAGATGGACTACACACATCTGGCAGATGACTTTTCTTCAGTGTGTTCAAGTTACCACAGAAGAAATTCTTCCTCTGAGTTTGTAAACTGGACTTGATGTTGTCAGTCAGGTTACACTTTGAAATTTGTTTTCTAAGACATTCCAAACATCTAACTCTGAAAAATTTTCTTGTGGCCAGGAGAGAAAAAGCACAGATTTTTCAGCCCTTAAATACTTTAAACAATCGTCATACCCACCTGCTACATTAAGCTTTTCAACTGCTCCTAAGCTGGGAGCAGGAGTGGTAGTATTGTTGGTAGAGTTTGCTCCTGTTCCATTAAGTACAAGATTCTCCACCTTGGACTCCAGCTTCCCAATGCGCTGCAAGATGTTATCCAACAAGACGGCAAGTGTCTTCTTCAAATCTACAAACCAAAATGAAAAGTTAAACTGCTTATCAAGGCGATGCTGTCAGACAGACTGAAAAAATAGATACAAGAATGAGACTGGAATATATACAGACAGTTTTTCAGTGCAAGTAGTTGTCACTAGCAGTCCTATGCACTAAAGCTCCCTACTTCATTGAGCCTCACATACAAGTTTCCCTGGATGTGGAACTTGTCTTCCTGTGTATGTTATAAAGCATACTGCAACCCACATATGTATCATATATTCAAGAAATGTGTGCCTTTAGGGGGACACACATGGGAACAGAAAAATGCACACTTTCTAATAGCTCTAGTAATAAGAAGTTGCTTAAATAGTAATGAATCTAAACCTAAATCCACATTCAAGCACAGTCAGGGGAACAGTCTGTTGAATACTCAAGTCACCCAGAAACAAAAACACCCTTCTAAAAAAGGGACAGCTTCAAACCAGCACAAAAACCTTCTCCAGCTTCTCTTCCACCACAATCACATTCTGCATTGACAAAAAACTGTGAAGTTCCACCTCTCTGTTGTAGACACCATTAATCATTTGCTTCTTCAGTCTGTTGGTGATTGCCTTTACCTATCCAGCTGGTCTGACACAGCACTTCTTTTGTGTAGAAAACAACACACAGTAACATCTGATATTTTTTCTTTCCCTTTTCTTTTGTTCAGACATTATGAAGTAAAGACAGTTGGGTAACCCTTAAGAACTGTGGGCAAGAAAGTAAAAACAGACCACTACCAGACTAAACTGTGTAACTGTGGCAGTAACAAGCCAAAAAAGATGAAAGAAAGCATTGTTCTTTGCTCATTTACCCTTGTCTCAAGATTAAAGAACTTGGTATGATGAATTTACATTATTTTCCCATTTAATTACAGAAAATAATTACATGTGTGTATATAAAACGAGTTTTCTGCTTTTTACAAGTTTAGAATCAAATAACTTTCTAATCTTTTTGAACCTGTAATTGAAATTTTCTCCATATATCTAAAAAGATTCCTCTGCCCCAACATCAGTTGTATTTTTTGCCACACTTATTTTGTGCTGTCTTTATTTTTTTCCCATGACTAGCTCAATTCTTGTGCAAATGAGAGAAAACAAGAAAAGGCTTTTACTTTTAGAAAGCTTATGATTATTTTTTCCAAATTAAAGGAGAGTGATATTTGTTCCATGGAGCCATCAAGTAGATATTTTATTTTGTGTTTTCCTTTGTCCTTTAAAGATCAAATGATGGAATGATCTGAACTATTTTCAAAGGCATCCAGAAGTTTTTTCTCATGTTATTAACATGAACAAAATCAAGGTAAAGAAGGAAGAAAAAAATCTAGGAAAAAAGTAGTAAAAAAAAATAATCAGGAAACAATTAAAGAAACATAGCATACATAAACCTGTGCATTGATCATAAACAGAAAAAACTGTTAAACCTTGCAATTTTTAAATACTGCTATCAAACCACTGATAGGAGAGACTGTCTACTAGAACAAAAAATTGGAGACTAGTTGGAGAACGGAAGGGCAGAAGCAGAGATTCATAACAATTCTTGTAAAACAACTGTTTACTGCTATAAAAATCTAGTATTTGTTGTGTATGTTTGGACTATAACTTTAAAAAGGAAGGTGTTTGACTCACCTACCTGACAGGTCAATTATATGGTAGAGAGAAAAAATGAGAAAGAAACAAGCTGTGCAATCACAACTAAGGAATGACTGAAGGTCTTTTGACTGGGTAAAAGCAGCCAAATCAAGCAAACTCAAAACTTATTATTGAGCATGGAAATAATGACTGCTTGCTAACAGCAATCAGAGGATAAGATTAAAAAAAAATAACAAGGGTAATATACAAGAACATTAGTTTTCACAGAACAGTGAACCAACTTCTGTCCATAAACTTGACCATTATTGTGTTCATTCCTGTACTGATAACCTGATCATTTGCTATCAACAAATCATTTGGTGTGCCAAACAGGACAAATTAACTGATTTATTATGTAATTATCAGTTTACTCAGTTTCATAAAGTATTATTTAATACAGTGCTACTAATTCACTGTAGCACCTTTCCCTCCAATATTTCAAATAAATATTACCATTATTTTGCATCCTTCCAAACTCCTTAATTGAAAACACCTCTCCTAACCTCTCTTTAAACTTAAAATTCTTCTTAGCCACAGAACTTGACATTTCTACACAAAACTTACCTATAACTTCACAGAAGGATAACTAAATCATTTCACCCATTTTCAAATGCAGTTTAACATCTCCTGAGGAACCTGACCACTCTTTGGCAGCAAGTGAACTTACTCCTCAGGAGACTTTAGAGCAGGAAATTAATGCCACAGGCAACAAGCTGCAGGGAGATCCTACCTTAAGAATATCCTGTACTCTGAGACCTAGCCAGGGCACAGATTAATGCAGTTACCCTTCAATTTCTGGAGGAACATTGGTTTTTAGTTTGGTTTTTTTTGTTTGTTTGTTTTTTGTTTTTTTCTTCTTCAGTTCATCTACCATCAAGCACTCTTACAAGATAATGGGGCACTGATGATGGCTATATAGCAGATAAGGGTTTGCTTTAATCCTATGAACACACTTCTTTTGGAACTTCTACTTGCTTGGAGGTCTTCAAACTAAGTACTGATCTAGTACCACTCTATTTAGCTTGTGTTGCTTTGTAAGATAACCATACCAGAATACTTCAACATGCAGTCACAAATCAGTAAAAGTTATAGAATAAGGATAGTTTGTTATTTAAGCAACAAAGCAATAAAACTGATAGATATGTTTGGGATTATAACATCAGGCTTATAGGCAAGCACCTTCATGTGAGCACAAAACTCCTTTTTTTAGGAGGAAAAAAATGATAACAGAAACAAAACATGGTGAGAACCTCCCAGCAGGGCATTTTCATTAAATGCAACAAAAAGTAAAGAGTATTGAGATAAAAGTAGAGAAAAAGGTGTAGCCATTTTCTGTTGCATCCTAGTCTTCATTCTTTGTCTAAGCCTACAAAAGACAGCTATGCAATTTCTTCAGAGCTGAGTACTAGGGCAAATATAAAAGCAAACAGATCTAGATGACTTTAACTTTCCAGACAGCCTGAAAGTGTATAGACAATTAGGAAAGGGATGTGTGTGATGTGACTTTATCAGGCTGGAAAGGGGCCACACCTAACCTGAAACTGCAATTTTATTATAATGAAATAAACTTTGTTATTTTCTGCATGCTTTCTCTCACACATGCACACAAAGTTCTCATGTTTTAAAAAAATGGAAGAGAGTAAGCATTAAAACTTACTGCCAAACAGAGCACTGAAACTCACAGAAAGAGTTGTCTGCCCTAAGGCAAATATGATATATTTAAGCTTAATTGAAATTTGTGCCAGATACATAAATATTTAGTAGATTGACTAAACAAAGAAGTGAAATGGGAAATAAGAATTAAACCTAGCAAGTCTCCACTTTATCAGGAAGACAAGTTCTTCTTCCAAAAGGAATTTCTTAGATCACCGACACGCAAACTGAAAACCCTCCCAAGTTTCTCAAAACCAGCAGTTTTAAAAAATGAAGTTCTAACAAACAACCTGAGGCACACCATGTAGAGCTACTAGACAGATGTAGTAAAAATCAGCAGACAGCATCATTTCCAAGTGACTGGAAATGTAAAATTTGTCCCATCTTATACTTAAAAGAGAAGACTGCTTTCTCCATCTGTGCAGAAAATCCACAGTGCAAATACTGTCAAATGAGCAGCATTTTGAAGTAAAATATTTGGACAATTTAAGAAAAACCTTAATCAGATTATCATGTAATGTAAGGCACACTTACCATATGCTGTCACTGTCCCAACGTAAGGCCCATCAACCACATTTTTATTTTCTTCAGCTAATGCTTTGATGTATCTTTTGCTGAGATCCAAAATTTGCTCACGCAGGACTGAACTGCTTTCGTGCTGTGTTTGCTGCTGAATAGTAAAATGCAGAAGCATCATTCCCCAAATGAAACCAAAAGTCACCAGGAAAAAGCCAAGTTTCTGAGAGGACAGCTTCCATGGAGAGAATGCCATGATTCCCAACAGCTTCACACAGTTACTACAGAGGTTCCTAAAGCATGAAGTCAAACAGCAAGTTCATGGTCCAGGTATATAAATATCACAGAGCAGGACTCAAGTCTTATTCCAACTCCTTAGTTAACGTATATCCGTATTTCAGTTCCATCCTGTTGTAAGAGGAAAGAAAAGAAGCATAGTTAGAACATTTAAGAAGTTTATACTAGCTATACTAGGTCTTCACTCTACTAGGTAAAAAGTAAGAGTAGACAATATGTTTTCTTTCTAAATGTTTAATTTGCATGTATCAACATTGTACTGTACTAGGCAGAGAACAAAGAAGCTGAGAAAAGCACTGGAAAGAGAACAAAGGAGCAGCAATGCGTCTGAGCAGGTGTAGAACACCTCTCAGTATCTGGATCAAGTTCAATGCTTGAAGCAGTTTCTAAGCTAAATTTCAAGGTAAGGCTGTTTTTACATATATTTGGGTGTGTGTGTACACAAAACTTTGCGATGTTGCCAGTGCAGCAATCTAAGACACTTCTCCACATAATTCAGCTCTCAGAAAACAAGTAATTTTAGCTGGCAGTGACACTGCTCAGTTCCTGGCAAGGGCTGTGGCATATGGCTAGATAGGTGATCAGGAAATCAGACTCCCTCAGGGGTACAGAGGAAAAAAGAAATCTACATTATTAAAGCCAATACACTCTCCTGGCTCACACTGCAAGCAGTCAGAAGACTGGAATAATCTCCTCTTGCTCCTGTGTGGCCTCTGCTGTGCATAGCTACTCTTTATTCATAAAACATTGTCCAATGAATTTGCACTTCGCAACTAAATTCAATAAACATACTTCTGAATGCTACCACATAACTTTTTGTATACAGAATTGATGTTCTTGGAGTTTATCACACACACTAGAAGGGAAAAAGAATTTTAATAGCAGCAGCCTTTAAGACACAGTAAGGCCATTTTTTCATGGCAAACTCAAACGAAGAACCTGGCATAAACAATCTAAAGGCAGGAAAAGCTCTGTGATGAAGGCTAGAGGCAGGGTGTCCTTAGCAAAAATGCATCATGAAGAAAGGTAATTAAAAGGTAATTAAGTGTAACCTATCATGTTAAAACACAGATTTGGTAAAATGTTACCCTTTTAACTTCATAATGCTCCCAGACAGGATTAGAGGACATAATGTTCCCTTCCACTCTGTACTTGCCCAGATAATGCAGATGTTGCTCTATCCTAATAGGATAATTACACAGATGCTTGCTAGCAGTGCTCCCTGTTTGTTAAAATTCCCTTTAGATCTTCTGCTTTCAGTTAAACCAGCAGTTCTGCAGAGGAACAGAAATACCTTTGAACTACTTATCTTCCAACGTGTCTTGCATATGCAATTTGCATTATTATTAACTGTAGAAGTGAACATATATCACATAGTAAACCAAAAGAAGAGAAGGCAGCAGCCGTACCACACATTTTTGCTGATAAGAGAACAATCTGTAGCCATCTTTTCTTTAAAGAGGAATGGTGTAGAAAAATAAACTGCAAGTACAGTGAAAAATAATAAAGCCCTCGAGTTCACTTTTTCCACACATGAAATATCTTAATAAATAAAACAAATTGTCTCAACAGAGAAAATAAAGGACTCTGTTTAATGCTGCTCTCCATAAACCTAATTTTCCAAGAAATGGCAGAGGAAAGTTTCACTTTTTTTTGTTTGTCTGTAGCCTTGGGAAACCCTTGGCCTGACGAAAAAGTACAGCATTGTTATTTCATTAAAACCTGAATGTTTTACTATTATTTTGCAATACCTGGTGTGATAAAATATAGAAAATTCCATAGTTTAAGACAACTCCAGAACTTAAAAATGAAATCTGAAATATTCAAGATTAACTCCCTCATTGACTTCAAGTAAACACTGACAGCATCCTCCTCAGCAATACTTATCTGTGGTTATAACAGTCAATATTTCTTCCTCAATTATCAGTTTGTGAAGTGAAAAATACTGAATAAGAAAGTAAACCTATCATCACCAGGTTTTACCAGACAAGTGCTAATGATTACAGAACATAATTAACACTTAAAACAGTAATAAAAAGCTGCAAGCATTTCACAGTCTTCTTTTTAAGGTTCTAGAACAGGAACAAGGATGATTACAAGAAAGTGTATGTCTAACCAATGAGAATGATCTACCTAAATACAGCTGTTGACTTTTCTACTCTGTTTATCAACAGAAAAAAACCCCATAAATCCACTAAAAAACTGTAAGAAGGTAGACAGCAAATATTAAACTTTTGCTTTAAGAAAAGTTTAAAATTAATTGCCAGCTGGAAGAATAGCACCTGTTATTTCAAGTGCTAAAAGGAAAAAAACCACCCAAAAACACCAAGCACCCCAAGGCAGCCCTATTTTTACTGCCAACTAAGCAATTTCAGTGGTTAGCAACTTGATGAATGCCCAACAACATGCACTTAACTAACTTTACAACACTGCTGGTGGTCATGGAGGTTTGTAATGTGAATAGAAGAATAATCTCTGTGCTTGCACCACTTCCATGGCTAGATGCACACACACTGACTTTGGTGTATATATATGTTTAATATTAGATTTGACAGATGTCAAGGACTGCAACAGAATTACTCCATGGTTAATGGTTACCACGTACCTAGAATGACTTATCTGGTATCTAAGTAGACTACTGGCCAGAGGATATCAAGGGGCTATGTGGATGCATGAAGACAGCAGCACAGAAACATCTACCTGGTGTTTGTTTTTTTTTTGCAGGAAATTAATAACTGAAGCAATAAACACATATTAGTCTACTATAATCACTCATGGACTTTGATAGTGCCTACTGACTAGGTGTCTCTCTGTCTGCACCAAGTAAGCCATTCCCAAATGTAAGGTAGCAGAGTACTTCCCTTATTCTCCCCCTTGCCTTCTAAACGTTCTCAAAGGAGCTGATCCTGTAAATTATTGAGGCGTTTTCCAAGTCTAGTCTCCAAAAGGCACAGTGGGAGTCATATGTAAAGAGGGTATGGAAACATATCTGTATGTTTCTAAAAATTACAGGCTTTTTCTTTTTTCTTTTTTTTTTCTTTTTTTTTTTTTTTTTTTAAACTTTAGAAAGAGGTAGTCTCACTCTAAGACAACCCTTGAAGTAATTCCATTACCCCTCTAGAAACTGAGTATGTCATAGTTGGTGTGAAAACATTAGGAAGATAATTCCTCACGATTTACTGAGAGGAGGTAATGTACCAAAACTAAACAAGTGTGAAAAGCAGGGTGAAAGATATACACAAGGCAAGAAAATCTTTAATAAAGAAAAGCTTTGTTATGTTCTTTAAATTTGACCCTAACCAGCCAAACTCTCACTGCAACTGAATCAACACAGTGGCAACTGAATCAACATAGTGGCATTTTGTTTTCTTGTGGGTTTTTTTTGGTTTTTTTTTAAACAGACCAGCTACACACTCTGCAATAAACAAGTCACAATTTAAAACAGAACTGCCTCTACCTTTAAAAAAAAGATTAGCATATATCTTTGGAAAAGAGCTTACTTCCCACCCATTTAGATAGGCATAAGATTTTTAACAGTCTTAGTATTTTTAATAATTCAAAGTGCTTCATTAAAAACACATTTTTTCTGTTCTATATTTAATAAAATAGTGCTCAACAGCTGGTCAGTTCATTAGTTACAGAGGATAACATTACCATGCCTGTGTCATCACTACAAAAGAGCCCTCTTGCTATTCAGAATCATAGCAGGAAAGTATCTCAGTACTATAGTGATGTGTACATCAGGGATGCAAACCACACACTTCTGAGCATTTTAAGCCTTACTCTTTTTTTTTTTAATGCTTAGAGTACAAACAATTAACCTTCATGTGAATGGATTATGGTGAAACATACATGTATTTCTCTTCCCTTTTAAAAAATGAGTATAATCTACAAGAGATAAAGCAAAATCCTTGTATAAGCATGGACACATAGTAAGCTTGTCCAGTTTGTACTTACTCAGGGTAAACTTGGAACAGCACTACCCTCAGGACAAGTCAGGATTCGACTATTACTCAGCTGAATGCACTGTTCATTACTAACTCCACAGTTATAAAACCTTAATTGTCTCTAGCCAAAATAGAAGCTGTTGCACCCATAAAGTAGCAGCTGACTGAGCAGTATTCACATATTAGCTTGTTATGCACTCAAACATGGGCAAACTTATACAGCATGACTAGTAAACAATATATTTGCATTTTTTCGACCAAGTGGCTCAGTAAAAATAGTAAAAAATACCACTGACAGGAAGAGGCATCAGGCCTTATGCTGACTGCATTTCTATGCTAAATGTGCAAGGCACAAATTCTGGCCTCCTGTGTTTGTGAAAGCTAGGGCTGGGTAACAGGTGCCTCTTGTTATGGCATACAGCTTAGATATAACAGCAAAGGCCCTGAAAATATGGGCACAGGTTGCAAGCAGTGGCCCCAGATCTGCAAGCAACTCAGTCATGGTCAATTATTAGTCACCAATGAAGGACAACCTTGAGATTTTTTAAAAACACACCTGCTTTTCTTTCAATAGCAGCAAAAGCTGAAAAGGAGGAATAAACTGCCATGCAACAATAAAAAGCACCAGTCTCAAACTGCTCACTATGAAGAACCATGATTATCAGTGCTAAATACATGGCACCAGCTCTGGGGTACTGTCTGCTCACAATTAATTTATAATGAAATTGTTACAGTCTAATTGCTTTGAATATGCAGTGGTAATGACTAGGAATGAGTAAGAACTAGCCATCAGCAATGTGTATTATTAATTAATATCAATCCAGTGAAATTTTGTTATAAATTTTAAAGCTGGTTTAAATCTGTTTTGTTCCATCAGCCTTTTGAAATAGCACTCACAGCCATCTCTTGTTCTCTTACATATATCCATACACAAACAACATGTTATTCCGTTGCAACACCATGCCTGACCCCACACAATGTTATTGCATCACAGCCAGCTCAAAGAGTTGCTCTTAAAAAGGTGCCCCACACCTCAGAATCCCTTATGCAAATTCTGATCTGCATTCCAGATTGTTTTCCGAAGAGGGCACACTGCACTTCTGTTTGCAACTGTTTGATTCTGTACAACTCGTTACAGACAGAGGACAAACTTCAAGATGCGAGTT